ATATCCTTTAAAAATTTTATAAATGAAACTATGATAGTTTTATTTTCATTTTCAATTTTACTTCAGAGCCTGTGGCTCACAAGCCACCATTTGCTGACCCCTGGAGGCTCTTCCATCTCAAAAATTTGCCAGCCCCAATTAACATATATTTCAAGGAATTGTTTTTTTGTTTGTTTGTTTGTTTTTAAGATAATCAAATTCAGTACTGGTAACTACTGCCACCCCCCACAAAGTAATCTTGCAAAAACAAAATATCAGTTATCCATCATCAGCCTACTGAACAAGACCAGTTTTAATACCTTATCCCTTATGATGCCACTTAAGTTTTAGAAGGTTCTCCCTGATGTAGTTCAGAGGTTCTGAATCACAAATTCAAATTCCATTAACAGGTACTCAGTGCCTACTATGTTCCAAACACCATCATAAGTATTGTTTTGCTTAATTCATGTACTATAAGCCATCACCCCAATACCTTGTCCCTCCTCATCAAAATAAAGGGTGTTGCTTCTACTAGACCGAAACTCTCTGAACTGCTGTTCCCTCTCTATGGGCGATTTTCAACAACCATATTTGATGTATCCTAACACCTCCCTGTTCTATTGGATGGCATAAACCTTCTGTCCACAGCTGAGCTGCCTACATCCTCTCAAGCTCTTTTCTCTACTCATTTGCTCCCTGGATTTTCACTCTCGTTGCATTCCCTGAGCATGTACACATGCTGGGGAGAAACTCGTTGAAGGCAGGGGGTCACATCTGTCTGGTTCACCATGGCATCTCCGGGGCCTAGCACAGCACCTGACTCAGAATAAGCTCAACAAATATTTTAAGGAGTGAACGCAGTCTCTCCCATACTACTAAAAATACATTTCCCCATAACTTCAAACCTCCCCCAGCCACAACTCCTCCTTTCCTACACAAATTTCTTCAAGTCTCCACATCCTACTATTCATCTACAATCTGGTTTGTGACTAGAAGCACCAAGGGGCCACTGAAATTGTTCCTGTTAAGATTGCTCACATCCTCTGGTTGTGAAATGCAAAGGGAGCTTTTTAGTCCTTAACTGCTTTGTCCTCTCTGATGAATTTCTCAACGTTGTCCACACCTTCCTGCTTGAAATTTCTGGTTCTCATCTTAGTTCTTGGGTTGCTTCTTTTCAGGTTCTTTGAGGGTTTTCTTTCCCTGTTCCACTCCGTCCTCTCCCCTCGTCCCACCTGCTTTCTTTGGACAATCTCACCTCATCTCTTGGTGTCAACAACCACATTCTATTAATAATACTGCTGCTGCTGCTGCTGCTGACAGATTACTTTTATTAAGTACCAGGCACTTCACATGTGTTATCTCATTTCATCTTCATAATAACCTTCATCTCTAACCCTAGTCTCAGTTAGAGACTATTATTGTCATTTTTGTGACCCAGGAAACTGAGGCCTAGAGAGCTTGAGTCACTTGTCACGGGTGACAAGGGGGGGGGGGTCTGCACCTTATTCTCAGCCTATCCTCTGGAGTGCTGCACAAGAATGCATCTACCTATTATATTGTTTTGTATGCCTGAAACTAAAAGGAAAAAAAAAGCATCTACCACATAGACCCTGATGATTCCCAAGTGTTTGTCTCTCCTCGAACCTCAAAGAGTTCCAAATCAGTACAAGCCATTAAATATTTCTATCTGGACAGTCTATAGGCACCTCAGTCTCAATTTAATTATTTTAAAACTAACTTAGTCTCACCTCCTTTGTTCCCAAAACTTCTCTTCCTTCCTATAAGCTATATCTCCATGACCAGCATCAATATGTATTTTATTGGCCAAGGCACAAGTCAAGAAGTCATTGCTATAGACTAAAGGTTTGTGTTCCCCCTCCCCAAATTCATATGCTGAAATCCTAATTTTCAATGTGATTCTATTAGGAGGTCGGGCCTTTAGAAAGTGATTAGTTCATGAGGGTGGAACCCTCATGAATGGAATTAGTGTCCTTATAAAAGAGACCCAGAGAGTTCCCTTGCCCCTTCCACAGAAAAACAATAGCAGTCTATAAACCAGGAAGTGGGCCATCACCTTGATCATGGACTTCCCAGCCTCCAGACCTGTGAGAAATAAATGTTAATTGTTTATAAACCACCTGTCTATGGTATGCTGTTATAGCAGCCGGAACAGACTAAGATAAGTCATTCAGATTCCTTCTTCATCCTATCACTACTCCTAAACTGGCTCTACATCTACATATATCTTATCTTTTCTCAACTGGAGAAAAAGTGCCCCAACCTTCAATCCATCCTTCACATATTTCCTAGAGTAATTGAACTGACACACAAAATTGATCATGTCATTCCTCTGCCAAAAATTCCTTAATAACTTCCCCACAAAATCTAAAGTCTTCTACATGGCACATAAGGTCTCTTCGGAATCTGGTCCTGTCTGTACCTCAAACTTCATACTCTCCCCTAAAATTCCCTCCTTTGTGCACTGTTTGGCGAAGATAGAGAACTAGTTTTGGTTCACCAGATGGCGTGGTTTCTCATGTCTCTGCACCATAGTGCATACTGTTCCTATCTCCCAGGAGCATAGTACCTGTCACAAACTGTAAGGGGTATGAAGTTTACTCTACGTGCAAGTTAACAAGTTAGCCTGACACAAGTTAGCCTGCTGGTAGATGACATGGGACTCGTGGGTCTGAGACAAAGGACAATGTATTATTACTCAGAGCAATGCAGCAGCCACGGAGTCAGCACTTGTGTCAGTTTCCTGACTCCCAATTCCCACAGGCAAGGAGACACCTGTACCCACACCAGATTATAAGAAAGGACCTGAGCTTGGGGAGACTGAATATTTTATAATGGGGAGTATGTTTGCTCCAGAGGGAGACACTATTTCTATCTTCCATGGCTGTTTGCTATTTTTTAAAATGATTGAAAAGGTAGTTCATAACAGAAGCAGTGCCTTTGCTCATGAGATATGTAGAAACACTAGAGACCCATGCAGAATCATCTCCTGTTGATCCCCACTCTTGTCCTCTAAACTAGCTCCAACTCATATTTAAGTCATGGCTCAAGTAGCTACCACCTCCTTCTTGTAAGGTGATTTAGGGCATCCATTATGACATGTCTTCTGCACTTCACATCTAATTATCATATTCATTGTAGTCCCTCAACAGGGCTGTAAGCTTTTTCAGCTCTTAAGCTTTGGGATTTTTAAAACAAGTAGTGAAATTCTAAACCTTTTCTGAACTAGAACAGAAGTCTCTTCTTTTTACTCTATTTTTCTATATGATATATACATGCTAAGAGCTTTTCAATATAATTGGAACACAGTTCAGAGCTAATTTTTTCTTTTAAATGTTCAGAAGTTAAAAAATAAACATCCACTTTATTTAGAGCACCAACGTATTTCATGAAAGCGTATTCCCTATCTCTTTTCCTTCAAAGTACAGTTTAGTTTCTCTTGATGATGAAAACAGACTTGAAGTTCATATGAGGTCTGACAATTAAGTTCGTGAACTTGTGCAATGATGTTGCTAAACCTTTCTTTAATATCAGAGGGATTATTCATTATGAATTTGCACCAACTGGACAAACAGTTAACCAAGTTTACTATTTGGAAGGGCTGAAAAGGCTGTGTGGAAAAGTTAGACGAAAATGACCTGAACTTTTCACCAACAATTATGGCTCTTGTATCACGACAATGCACCAGCTCACATGGCACTGTCTGTGAGGGAGTTTTTAGACAGTAAACAAATAAATGTATTGGGACACCCTTCCTACACACCTGATCTAGACCCCAGTGATTTCTTTCTTTACCCAAAGACAAAGGAAATATTGAGAGAATGACAACTTGATGACATTCAGTACATCAAGGGTAATACAATGACAGCTCTGATGGCCATTCCAGAAAAAGAGCTCCAAAATTGCTTTGTGGGTGGACTAGGTGCTGGTGTCGGTGCATAACCTCTCGAGGGGAGTACTTCAAAGGTGACTGTAGTGATACTCAGCAATGAGGTATGTAGCACTTTTTCTAGGATGAGTTTGTGAACTTAATTGTCCAACTTTGTATAACCCATAAATAATGGTGTCTGTCTGTCTCTCTCTCTCTCTCTCTCGTCTCTTTCTCTCTCACCTACAGGTGAAAGTGGCATTAAATGTCTGGCTCAACTTCTACTCCTGTAACTGAATCTTTTTCAAGTTCTAACTGTTGACAGCTGCTAATCCCAAGACATGTTTAAAGAAGCACTAGAATTATTATAAAGCATAGAGCCGAGACCTCTCAATCAATGTAGATGAGGCAGTTATTAATATGGTGGCAACAAGCATCACAGAATTACTTTTGGTTTGCTTATAAGGGAATATATATACCTAGTGCAAAAAAAAATCCACAATTCAGCCATTTTAATCATTTGGTAAGTAATCAGTCATCAAATCAATTCTGCCATTTGATTGACAAAACTATTTGAATGCCTAAAGTGTTCACTTTTCAACTGGCTGGGGCACATTCTTAGTATCTCTGTAAAAGGTAGACTGGACC